GCGGCGCTCACCATCGATGCCGCAGAACTGGGGGACGGCGACAGCTTCATCATTTTGGCCCGAAGTCAGAAGCAGAGGGCGGCCGACCACACCGGCGGCTTACCTCGGGTCTCGACCTATAGAGGCGAGGCCAGGCCATATGGGCAAAGTTTGCGTCGTCCCAGCGCCAGTGCCGAAGGCAGGCGCACGTACAATCCAAACTATCGACCCGGAACGGGCGATAAAGGATACTACTCACGTCAGCACAGTCGTGGCCACAGTAGGGATCCTAGCCGAGACCCTAGAAACAGAGACGTGCGACCGCGCCGAGGGTACATGGACTGTCCGCTGCAGGGTTCCCAACTTCCAGTTGTGGAGAGTTTAGATAGTGAAGAGCCAAGTGCCCACATTGCCCGTAAACCACCTACGCCTCCTCCTGCACCAGACCGTAGAAAGCGAACTAGGTCGGTTTCCTCGGACTCCTCTGCCTCTTCAGGGAGTTCGGGGTCGGGTGTCAGTATTCCCACTGGAGCCAAGTACTTCACCCCAGCATGCAACCTTGCAGTCCTGTCCAAGGCCCTTAGGAGAACCGTGCACCAAGGTCTCCAAGCCCTTAGGGACCATGATAAGGCCTTAAGATATCTTTGCAACACCGTGTCCGAACCCGTGAAGGGACCTGCTCACACACTAGTAATTACCTCGAAGCCTCGTGCCTTTCAGGAGTCCGGCATCCGTGTCATCGACGTCGGATTGGACGCGATGAAGCCGTGGGAGGCCGAAGGGATTCGTAGGACCCTTCAAGAGGTTAGCCCCAGTTTAGTGGTTGTAGCTATTGAGTACCAGGAACCGGGACTCAATCATAGTGAAGTTGTGGACGAGGTCATAGCCCACTGTGAGTGTTCAGGGTCAGACTACCTGATAGCTGACGTTGCCGACACTGAACGTTGGGGGTATTTCTCTGTTCCCATGTACCCAGACATAGGACATGGTGATGTGAGCTATGTGTCCAATAATTCGGAAATAGCAGATGCATTTGAGGGATGGACCGGTGAAGGCTATCCAACCATGGGACCCAGGAGTTTTTGGGATTTGTTTTCTAGTGACTTTTTGGGTTGGTTGATCAATTATGCCAATGACCATGCTGCAATTTCACTTGTGGCAACATCGTACCCAGTATGGGACGATGGCGAGATTGATGATAGCGAGTTTCCAACCTTCGATTCCGTTGAAAACGAAGATGATGTAGCAAGAATGGACCCAGGAGAAGAGGCCATTCAAGAGGACCTTGAACTAGACGAAGTTCAGGTGCCAGGTTTGCCTAAAGGCGAGGCCGAACGCCGAGCCGGCTGGAGGAAGTTACCCCAGCGCGTGAGAGTTGCCATCAGGCGTTTGCATCGACAATTCGGGCATGCGCCGAGAAAGGTACTCTTAAACCTTCTCAGAGCAGCGAAGGTCGACCCGCAGTATCTAGATGGACTGCGTTTGTTGCGCTGCAATGAGTGCGAGGAGAACGCGCCAAGACGTAGCGCGCACAGCACGTCGTTGCCCGAAAAGTACGTTTTCAATCACACTCTCGGTATTGACCTTCTAGAAGTCACAGACGCTACAGGAACCAAGTTTCAGGTCCTAAACATGATCTGTTTAGGGACATGTTTCCAATTAGCCGAAATTGTTCGACAAGGTCCCGGTCAAGCGTCAAGCGCAAAGTGCCTCGAGGCCATACAGAGGAGGTGGATCACTTGGGCTGGTCACCCCAAAGCACTAAAATGTGATCGCGGATTGCACAACCGCGGCGTCCTAGCAAGGTACATGGCCGCGCACGGAGTGGATGTTACACACGCGCCGCTCGAAACACCCGAAGCCATAGGCCGAGTGGAGAGACACGGCGGGATCATCAAAGGAATGGCCCGCAAGGTCATCAGCCAAACTCAACCGCGGGGTTGGTTGGAAATGCAGCAAGTACTTGATGAGACTTGCCTGACAAAGAACAGCCTACTCAGACAGGGAGGCTACTCGCCAGCTCAATGGGTGCTGGGTCGAGCGCCGCGTGAACTACCATCTATCCTTAGTGAGGATGGGCACGCAGATCTAGGAGCCATTCAGGACTCTCTCGATCCCGAGTCCGTTTTCGCGCTCCAACACATGGTTCGTGCTGAGGCGAAGAAAGCATTCGTCCAGCTGGACACCTCTAAACGAGTTCAGCGCGCTCTTTTGCGCAACGCGAGAGCGATTCCTGGAGATTACCAGGTGGGCGACGTAGTAACCTTGGGAAGACATCGTGGTCTCCTGCGTCTAGGGTTATTGGTTTTGAAGGGCGTAGCAAGGAATCGGTTTGGTTGCTTTGCGAAAACATTCCAGTTTTGGCGTCTGCGCAAAACCTGCGACCAGCAACGGACGCAGAGGCTTTGGCCTTTGATATCCTTCATGGGAATGCAATTATCCCTGAGGAAATTGTTAAGGATCAACAAGGGTTCGACGACTATCGTGAACCAGCACCAACCGGGGATCACGATCCAGCGCCAGATGTGACACTTGAAGAGGGCCCCAGTGATGGACCCATGCCATCTATCCTAGAGGAAGACGAGGAGCACCCGCGCTCTAGATCACCACCTGGGGTTAGGAACCGAGGTCCCAATAGTTCGAATGGACCAAGGATCAGAGGATCTAGTGGTTTAGGAACCTCTCAGAGTTCTAGGTCTCGTCGGCTTAGCATCGCCGAGCCTGAGCAAGAGAGGACTCCAGGTGGAAGTTGGAGGCCGTCGTATGATGTACAGGACGATTTGCCTGAGCAGCTGCGGCAGCACTTCCAGCGCGTAAGGGATGCGGAAGCGACGCCACCTAGAATTGTCAGCGACCAAAACACGGCGCTGAGTGCGACTCAAGCCCGACCGCGGGCTAAGTGCATAGCCTTTATGGCGAATCGCGCGGCAAACATTTCAAAGGAAGAAGCCAAGTCCCTTCCAGGCAGCCTCAACTACTATGACTGTTCACCCGCTGTCCAGCGCAAGATCGATGAATCTAGAAAGAAGGAATGGATGAAGTATGAATCATTCCAAGCGGCGATTCCAGTAACCGGTAAGATCCTAAAGGACTTATTGGATGAGGGACATGTTCCATTGCCCTCTAAGTGGGTTGACACTGTCAAAAACATCCACGAACAGCACCTGGAATCATTCGATCCAGAATTCAAGTCCCGCATGGTTGCTTGTGGCAACTTTGAAGGCGAGTGTGGAGTGAGGACCGATTCGCCCACATCGGATATTGAAACCCACGCCATGGTGTGCGCATTCGCAGCGTCAGAAGGAGTACCTGTGCAGGGCTCCGATATCAAAAATGCCTACTTCCAGGCTCTCCCAATAGATCGCATAGTGCTGATGCGACAACCCCGAGGGGGACTCCCGGGCGTAGACCCGGAAGCGATGTTGTTAGTTCGCGTTCCTGTCTATGGACTCCAAGACAGTGGGAGAGGGTTTTGGAAGCGCGTAGACAAAGACGCAAAAGACGTAGGTCTTAATGCGTCGCGCATTTTTCCCGCGTTTTACTACCACACCACGGGTAGTAAAGTGGATCTCTTACTTACCACTCATGTCGACGATTTTCTTTGGGCATCAACCCCCACTGGTGATGAAATCATGAATCGACTCTTAGAAAGGTTCGAAATCGGCAGAAAGGAGATCAAGAGACTCCGATTTTGCGGGAAGCAATTTGACCAATCCGGCAAGGACATAGTTATCGACGTTAGCGATAACACACGCCGTACTACGTATATCGACATAGCGAAGGGCCGACAATCTTCGGACCCGATCACGCAAGGTGAAGAACGTCAACTGCGTAGCGTAGTGGGTAGTCTGAGCTGGATAGCCAGACAAGGCAGGCCGGATATCCTGTACAAAGTTTCGTATTTGCAGTCCAAGGTTAAGGGAGCCACCGTAGCTATCCTTAAGGAGGCTAACAAATGTCTTGAAATTGCTCTTGCAGGAAAAGATTTCTGCATCCGGTACAAAAATGGTCCTTTCGACTTTATGGATCTGGGAGTTTTAACCGCCTCAGATGCCAGTTTTGCCGGGGAGCCAGGTTTACGATCCCAGCAGGGACGTATTCACTTCCTAGTTCCAAGGAAGCAATTGACCACGCCAGGCAATTGCGTATTCGATGTTGCCTTGATCAGCTTTGGATCAACGACAATCAAGAGAGTATGCAGAGCAACTCTCCAAGCCGAGACGTACGCGCTACAGAGTGCGCAAGAGTCAGGTGACCGAATTCGAGCTCTGTTGGCCGAATTGTATGGACAAGGCAGTCCAGGAGCTGATTGGTACGACCGATCCAGAAGGACGGTTCCGCACATGATGCTCACAGACTGTCGTAGTCTGTCTGAGCACCTCAACGTGGAGGTCCCTTCACGTGTCCAAGACAAACGTCTCCAAATAGAACTGAACGCGTTGCGTCAGGCGTTGTTCGAAGACGATGGCACCCGCAGTACCGAGGTCTTTCCCGGTGCAGGTGACCAAGTTGTGTGGACCTCTACGGCCACCATGATCGCTGATTGCTTGACGAAGAGTATGCGCCCCGACTTCCTCATCAAGGTATTGACAGCCTGTCAGTATCAAATCGAGAGGCAGTCGGAGAAGCAACTAGGATGATCTACACGACCCTCAGGGTGTGTGTGTCAGTCATGCGACTCCTAAGCAGCGCATGCACGTTTCGTGCGATCGAGTCAAGACGCACAGCGGTTTTCCGCTCATTCATGCCAGAGAGAAGGTTGAGTCTCAATCTCACCTATGTATAGCCTGGACATGAATGAGAGTGTATTGATGGCATAGATGTTGACTGTATTTTATCCGCTACATTTGGCTTACAGAGCGCTCTTGAGCATACCTGTCTATGCGGTGAGAAAAGGTGAAAGCCGCCAGCTTTTCCCAAACTTAGCTACCCAAAACCCCAGGCCAACTCAACATCCCGAGAATCTCAGATCCGGAGCCCGAAAGCCTTTGATCCCTCACGCCTCTTCCAGACAACCCAAGGCTTCTGGGTCTTGAAGCAGAAGGAGATTGCCCTCCAGCTGCCCGGCGGAGAATCCAGCGAGGGTCAGGGTGTAGGCTTTCACCATGAACCCTAAACGCTAAACCCTAAGCCATCTAAACCCTAAACACCTGGGTCGTAGAATTGGGTTCGTTGCATGGGCTAACAACAGACAACAGGTACACCTTTCTATAATCCGACCCAAGGGGAATTGTGTTTCTGTTCTCAGCGACACTCTAAGCCTTGAACCCTAAACCCTCATTGCTAGTCCCCATATGGGAGTTTCCGCTTATTGGGGTCCTTATTAAAGGGAATCCTACTATTTGGGATCTATTTTGGGGTCCCTCATTGTCGTAAACCCCCATATACTGCAAGGGCATGAGAAGTTCCTTGGTTCCGCAGTCTTGGGTGAAGAGATGGCTGCACCTCTCTCAATTTTTTCCCCTAAAGCACTTAAGACAGCAACACCCGGACACGCGCCGTAGAACCCTTTACATGAACTTGAACCCTGGGCACGCTGGCTGAGAGTTAGCTCTCTCCAGGGCTCAAGTTCATGGCCTCGGGCTGAAGTGTGAATCTCCGTGAATGAATCCCACACCTCGAATTCGTGGACAAGAGCCCTTCGCCCCCGATGCCTTAAACCCCAAGCCCTAAGACAAAGGTCGCGAAACAAGGAGGTGACCAGCGCAAGCGAGCTGACACTGGACACCTTGGTGGCACAGTGAAGAGTTCAAGCTAGCCGTAAACCCTGCAGCTCAAGACAGGAACCTCCTACAGGATTACCAATGTTGTCCCCTTCTCATTCCTCCATAACTTTACATGTACACCACCCAGCATGCCCATGCCATGCCAGTTCAACCCTAAACCCTGGACCCCAGACAAGCCAGACCCTCAAGTTTCGAGATTAGCATGCAACGCTCGACCACGGGAAGTTGACCGCTGCAGTCTTCAACCTGAACGCCACCCAAAGCCCTATACACCCCATGCCCTATACCCTAAATCCCAAACCAAGCACCACGAGCCCGAAACTCACCAAGGCGCCAGACTCCTTAGCCCCCAACTCTTGCAGCTCTGAGAGCCTGAAGAAGCCCGTAAATTGGGGGTGTCATATATCCGATACCGCCCTAGAAACCCTAAACCCATCTAAACCCTACACCCTAAACCCTAAACCCGAAAATGCTACTGCCTGCAACGCCTAGTAAGGTATATGGACCAGAGCCCCCCTTGGAGGTTCATGGTACTTATTAACCAGTTAAGGGTTATCAGTGCAGTGATAGCTGGCGAATAAGTACCATGAACCTCCAAGTAGGCAAAGCCCCCCAAACCCTAAACCCTAAACCCTAAACTCTAAACCCTAAAACCCTAAACCCTAAACTCTAAACCCTAAACCCTAAACCCTAAACCCTACACCCTAAACCCTAAACCCTAAACCACCAAGGAGTTTTGCGAGCTCCTCAAGTGCGGCTTTGACCCATTGCGCTACAACGGTCAGGCAGCTCGGTTGGAGACTCCTAACTCGGGTTTAGGGTTTAGGGTTTAGGGTTTAGGGTTTAGGGTTTAGGGTTTAGTGTTTTGGGTGCAGGGTTTAGGGTGTCGGGTTGAGGGTGTAGAGTTTAGGGTTGACGGTAGGGCTCAGGGTTTAGAGCGGGGCTTCCCTCGTAAATCCCGTGATGCCACAAACAGGCAACCGTGTGTCATGGGTTCCCCTACTAGCCCCCTCTATACTACCCCCCTAGGTTCCCCCTTAAAAGCCTTAATTCAGCTTAATTATCCTTAAATAGCCTTAATTATAGGGTAGAGGGGGAACCCATGCATGTGAGTCCCCTCGGCCCTTAATCCTACTTGAAGAATCAAGTTCACGGGTAGGTTAAGATAGTAGGAGAACTGCAGCTAATTGCGTTTAAGGTCGATTTGTATGTACACATATACTGTTGCAAAACCCAATCCGTTCGTCTTAAACCCTACGCCCTAGCAAGGTGCCGATCCAGGATATCGACCTTTACTTCTGCACGCTCGTCTATGGCAGCTGAGCGATGCGTTGGGACCGTTTCGGGTGCTCCAAAGCGGGATGCAGCGCACAGGAACTCTTCTCCCCCCCCCCCACCCCCCTCCCCGTTCCGGCCTCAAGCGTGCTGTGTCCGAGTCTCCCGGCACCCGAAAGCCTAAGCCCCAAACCCCCAAAACCCTCAGAATCCTAAACCACTGACCTTCAACTTCAACCCTAAGCCTCCGAATCAAGCCCGAGAAAAAAAAGACCCTCAAGCCTGAGCCCGAACCAAGATTTCATCAGCACCCTGGCATCCCAGGCCCTAGGTTCCAAGCCATAAACAACGATCTAGGGTTTAGGGTTCAGGATTTCGGGTTTAGGGTAAGTTTAGGGTTTCGGGTTGAGGGTTCCAGAGGGAATGTAACCCTAAACCCTAAACCCTAAACCCTAAACCCTAAACCCTAAACCCTAAACCCTAAACCCTAAACCCTAAACCCTAAACCCTAAACCCTAAACCCTACACCCTAAACCCCAAACCCCAAACCCCTAAGCCCAAGGCTCAAAGCTCCCAAGCAAGGTAGCAAGCCGACCTTCACTTCCATCCATGCCCTGTGGGACAAGTTTGAAGTTGGAGAGCACCGCGACTCAACGGGCCTCTTTAGGGTTTAGGGTTTAGGGTTTAATTAGGGTTTAGGGTTTAGGGCTTAGGGCTGAGGGTGTAGGGTTTAGCATGTAGGTTTTAGGGTTCACCCTGGCCCCGGAGTCTGTGTTAGGAGCTTAGAGAATTTTTTTGGCGCTTGAGGGGATCCAGAATTCAGATCAACCTCCGGTTGTTTGCAGCTTCTTGAGTCGTTTCGTTGAGGTTCTGTTGAGGGTGTGGGTCTTCACCCCCCGGCTTTAACTTTTTTCTTTTTTTTGGGGGGGGGGGGGGGGTATCGGGTTGCTCTAGAGTTCCATCGGCCACAGACGCATCTCAGCATGCCGTAAGCCGTAAACCCGTAAACCCGAAGGCAGGATCCTTTTCGAGTGGTAGGGTTTTCAGGTTAGGGTTTGGGTCACATGAACATAATTGGGCTTTTCAGGCTTCCTGAGGGCCGTATCGCAAGCATTCTGGGCGTACCGCTCGCAACCTGAAAGCCGAAACCCTAAACCTTAACCGCAAACCGGTTTACCCTCTTCAACCGCAAACCCCAAACCTTCAGAGCTTCAGCAGCAAACCCTTTTTTACCGTCGACTCTCAAACCCGAACACCCCTAAACCATAAACCCTAAACCCCTAAACCCCTAAACCCCTTAACCCCTTAACCCCTTAACCCCCTAAACCCTAAACCCCTTAAACCCTAAACCCCTAAAACCCCAAGCCCCATGAACCCTAAACCCTAATACCCTAAACTGAGAAGCCCAGATAGGCCCACGTCGTCAATTTGGTAGAGGGTAGCGTTTCACGCCCAAGTCCTGGGCCCTTGTTCCTTGATCGTCCCTTAGCAGGGTTTAGGGTTTAGGTTTTAGGGTTTAGGTTTGGGGTTTAGGGGGTTCAGGGGTTTAGGGGGTTTGGGGGTTTAAGGGGTCCAAGCGGTCCAAGGGGGTTTAGTGGGTTTAGGGGGTTGAGGGGTTTAGGGGGTTTAGGGGGTTTAGGGGGTTTAGGGGGTTTAGGGGGTTTAGGGGTTTAGGAGGTTAAACCTATGAGTTCACGTTTCTGGAGGAAGGGCTACATGACCAAAGATGAGTGGTTCAATCTGCCCCTTGCCTTGACCGGGACAAAGAGGATAGCAGCTGGCCCCGAAACCCTAAACCCTAAAACCCTAAACCCTAAACCCTAAACCCTAAACCCTAAACTCTAAACCTTAAACCGCCAAAGCTTAAAGCCTAAACCTTAACGTCTAACAGCTCGGGAGCTGAATGTAGAGGGCTGAGATCCCAAGCCGCCTAGGTCCTCGAAGCACGTATCTAAGCTGCGAAAGGGCTCGAGGTTTGCTTGCGGTTTAGGGTTTAGGGTTTAGGGTGTAGGGTGTAGGGTTACCCTAAACCCAGCAGCCCATCCACGCCCTGAAAGCACGGTCGATGTGAGAGCTTATGCGAAAAAGGCCCAAAGCCCAAACGCCAAAACCCTAAACCCTAAACCCTAAACCCTAAACCCTAAACCCTAAACCCTAAACCCTAAACCCTAAACCCTAAACCCCACATACAAGCATTTTGGGCTTATGGGGCATAGGTTTGGAGGCTCACGCAGTGTCACTGCTGGGTCGCTTCTTAAGGCTTAGGGTTTAGGGTTTAGGGTTTAGGGCTGTGTTTACGGATTGGGGTATTTCAAGGGTTCCAGATGAAGGGTCAAGCGCCCAAAGCGTGTTTGCTGGTAGGTTGCCATAGAATTGGTTTTTCAGGGTTGCGGACAGTCAGTTTGGATTTCCAGTACCGGCATGGTTTTGCTATTCGGGGTGAGGGCGTTTCACGGAAGCTGGGCTGAAAAGCGGAAGAACTGTAACTTCTAGCCGGCTATTGAGTTACCCCATTTCGGGTCCTTCTAGCCCCAAATCCCAGGTGTAGGGTTCTGTGGCATCAGTCAGGGTTTAAGCTTTCTAGGTTTACTGAGAAGGGTTGATGGTTTCGTGTCTAGGGTCACCGTGCTGAACTCTTTTAAAACCCAAGCGCCAAACCCCAAACCCGAAACACTCCCAAACTCAGGTGCGCCCGCGTCAAGACGAAGCTGCCGCAGAAGATTCAACAGGAGATTTGGGACCTCCTGTCCTGGAGGCTGCCAGCCCGAGTTTGCAGGTTTAGGGTTTAGGGTTTAGGGTTTAGGGTTTAGGGTTTAGGGTTTAGGGTGTAGGATTTTAGGGTTTAGGGTTTAGGGTTTAGGGTCGTTGGGTTCGACAATGGCGAACGGCTGTTGTCCATGTCTCGAGGTTCTGTCAACGTGCCGTAGGAACCCTCAAAACCCTAAACCCTAAACCCTAAACCCCAAACCCTAAACCCTAAACCCCAAACCCTAAACCCTAAACCCTAAACCCTCAACAGCTGGCTTGCATCAGCGACCCAGGGTCGGCGCCTATGTCCCTTTTCAGGATCAACCCTAAGCTGTCATGGGTTCCGCTACTACCCCGGACTACCCCCCTCAGGGTTTAGGTTTCGGGTTTAGGGTTTAGGGTTTACCATGGGTTCCCCTGCTACCTCCCTCTATACTATCCCCCCCCTAGGTTCCCCCCCCTTAAATATCCCTAATTGGGCTTAATTATCCCTACATCGCCTTAAATTATGGGGGGAACCTGGAGGGGGGGGTGGAGTATAGAGGGTACTCGTAGTACGGGAACCCGTGAGAAGCCCTCGCCAAGGAACCGCGCACAGATGTCGAAGAAGGACTTCGTAGCTGGCTGGCACATACACGCGTCTTGTTGGCACCCCTCAGGCAGTTCTCCAGAACCCTCAACCCTAACCCCTAAACCCTAAACCCTGAACCCTAAACCCTAAACCCTGAACCCTGAACCCTAAACCCTAAACCCAAGAACTAAACTTCCGAAGCCGAACTATGAATCGAGGAGAAGTTAGCCTTCCTGAAAGAAGTGTGGGCCCCTATTTGTCTAGTTAGCGTACATATTCAGAGGGGTCTATATGGGTTTCCAAAATACGGGCCCATGCCAAGGACCCTTGTAACGACCCTAAGAGTCAACCCTCAATCCCAAACTCCAAGCCCTAATCCCAACCGCTTCACTGCGTGACATTCGTATGGATTTTGCTGATGCTAAGGCTTTCGGGTTAAGGTCCCCTTAACATCCTAGGCAACCTAGATGCTAGAACTCTCTTTCGCGCCATGCCCGAATTTACAAAGCGTTTCCAACTTCGCACTGAGGTTTAGGACTGACCAGGGCTCTACCCAGATTACCACTTGTAGTTGCGATGCCAGAACTTGGTTATTTTCATGAGTCTACCCTGAACCTGAAGCCCACCAAAAACACGTCATTGTGTCTTTCCGGCCGTTTCCTTCGTCCGAAACATCCTCGAAGCACTACGCCTTGAGAAGCTGCCGGCAACGCAAATTTCATGCCCCCAGAACTTTATAACAACGCTTGACCACCCATCTCGACGAGGCTGTACTTCCGGACCGCCTGCCCCAACTCCTTACCTTGGTAGCCCAGTGGTACCCTTTGCCCTTTTTTTTGGGGTTCTGGTTTCCCTTATAAAAACAACCAACCCCAAAAAAGGGTGCCCTTATCATAAGATGGTGACTGGGCTACCAAGTTACACAGAGTTGGTAAAGAAAAACAGCGTGGATTGAGCCAAGGGAGTCGCAGAAGTAGCTGCGGCTATGGTCAGACTAGTGGCAATCAGAAACGTGGGGAACTCTTGAAGGTAGTTGTGGGTACATCCGAAAATGCCAAGTTACATGATTCTGATCGTAGGATTAACCAGAAATATCGGAGTGCCTCAGCATCTTACTTGCCCTTCGCCCAGGATCTGGAAGTGCAAGATCTGCACGCCAAGAGTTTGACCCAAGTCCTGAAGTGCCTTGGACATTCCCGACCTATTTGCCTTACGGTAAACTCCAGAAAGTAGGAACATGGTTTAAGGATGGTTTGAGCTGGGATTCCCTTTAGAATGCCTTTTATTTTGAGGTATGGGGAGAAGGATGCTCCAATTTTGGGGAGTTTACTGTAAACACGGGCAAGTCCCGGTAGGCGGCCTGGGATTCGGCGGGTTTTTGATAACCATGTAGTTTCCGTGCTCAAAGAAACCATACATGGGTCAACCTCACAGGGGCGCTGCTTGGAAGAAGCCGACTGCTCCACTATGTTCCCAAGAGTGCTTGATGCAAAACCCTGATCAAGAAACTTCCCGGTTCTTGCATATCTATGCAGAATACCCATCAATGTACTTTGTTTCATCAAGTGTCAGCATGGTGCCCAAGCACATGTTTTGGTGCTTCTAGCAGCTTGCATCCAACAAGCATGTGAAAAGAGGGGCATCCAAAATCTGTCCCCCACCTTGCCCCCGCGCCCTGTCGCCGAAACCAGCCCAAACCCGAAACCCTAAACCCTAAACCCGAAACCCTACACCCTAAACGCTAACCCTGAACCCTAGGGGCTTGCCAGTTTGCAGCACATCTGGAGCACGAAACGCACAACAAGAGAAGCAACCCTGAACCCTCAACCCTAAAACCCTAACTTTGACTTTTTGAGACCTTTGGCGGCCATACTCAGTTCCCCTTTCTTTAGGCTTTAGGGTTTAGGTGCTGTATGATTGCGCCACATCATCCACCTCTGCGGTTGAGGGTTTGATTGCTCAGGTTTTGGGATCTTGGCTTGTGTCCAGAGCCAGGTTCCAGTACTACAGCATGGGTGTGGGAGAGCTACAGGAGCGAATGAGGCAGGCCGGTACAGGGCCGACAGGGTTGGTGGATCTCTGGCTTTGCTGGTCAGGAAAGCCATATCTTTGCCCCGAGATTTCCCTCCACAGGGCCCCTAAACCCTACAACCCTAAACCCCTAAAACTCCAAACCCCTAAACCCTAACACCCTAAACCCCCTTAAACCCTAACACCCTAAACTCCCTTAAACCCTAACCCTAACTGAGTAGGGCTGCTCTGAGGTTCAGGGCTTAATCCTGGTGCTGGCGCCAGGATCCGTCTAGCGGAGGATGCGGACGTGCTGAACTTCCCGAAGGTGAAGTTTCGGGGAGCCCCGAAAGGGTTTGGGGCTTAGGGTTTAGGGTTTAGGGTTTCGGGTTTAGGGTTTGGGGTCTAAGGTTTAGGGTTTATGCAGGATTTAGGGTTTAAACTTTTCGGGCTTGGGGCTTAGGAGTTTGGGCTTAGGACGTTTCCTCGAGAAAGACGGAAGCCCCTAGACCCTCAAGCCCTTGAACCCCGAACCCTGAACCCTCAAGCCCTTACCCCAAACCTATTGAACTCTTGTATACTAAAGCCGGATTTCCAGTCTTCGGCCTCGAATCCTAAGCCTCGTCCACCTATACCCTAAACCCCCAACAACTAAACCCAAAACCCTGAAACCCGAAGACCCCCCCCTAAACCCTAAGCATAGACCTCTTCTCCCAGGCTCAGGCCTGAAACCCTGATACGCGCTGTATCACGATGCTCAGCCTGAAGCCCTGTGCCCTTTTCGAGTTTTTTTTGTGTTTTTTCTTTCGGGTTGAAGGGTCTAGGCCCTTGGGATACGTTCGTGTTTCCCTAGTTCGGTTCAGCAGGATCCTGTTTAGGAATATGTTTCAGAGGGCTTAAGGGAGCCCTCAATAAGGGCGCCACTAACCCTAAAACCCTAAACCCTAAACCCTAAACCCCAAACCCTAAACCCTAAACCCTAAACCCTAAAACCCTCAACCCTAAACCCGAAGTCTCGCAAACCCATGTGAAGGGTTGCCGTTTATGGGGGCAGGAAGCAAGGAACCTCGTCTTGGGTTCTTAAGGCTTTGTGTAGGGTTTCGGGCTGAGGGCTTAGAGCTTAGGGCTTACGGCAAAGAGCTTAGGGCTTAGGGCTCAGGGCTCAGGGCTCAGGGCTTAGGGCTGGCTTAGGGCTGAGGGTTTAAGGTTTAGGGTTTAGGGTTTTAAGGCTTTTGGGTTTAAGGTCTAGGGTTTAGGGGTAGGCCGACGGCCAGGCTGGGCACAACGACATCCTCTCAATTCCCTTTGGTGTGGGGGAACGGCGGCTGAAGCGCTGAGCCATCTGTGCTGGGTCGACCCTAGGGTTTAGGGTTTCGGGTTTCGGGTTTAGGGTTTAGGGTCTAGGGTTTAGGGTTTAGTGTTTAGGGTGCCCGGAAAGCTCTAAACCCTAAACCAGAAACTCCCCACAGCCTTGAGCTGCTTGATATGGGTATTGCCCCAAAAGAGGGGTACCCTTTTTATGCCCCAAATAGAACTGAATCCCCTTCAAGGGACCCCCCCCCCCCCCAAAAGGGTACCCCCTTTCTTCGAAAACCCCCATATGTTGGGGCTTGCTCTAGACTTCACTGTTGGTTAGTAGGAATGAAGGAATGAGGTACCCTATAGTTCATCCCTTAAAGGGTACATATATATATATATATATATATAAGGCCCTAATTCCCTCATTCCCCGCTAACCAATAGTAAGTATGGTGGGGGTTCCACTAGATTAGGGACCGTGGGCTCCCCGCAACCGAAAGGAGTACGTATGTGAAGTGCCTAAACCTTAAACCGTAAACCCTAAACCCTAAACCCTGGACCCTAAACCCAAAACCCCAAGCCCCCGCCGCCCCCCCCCCCCCCCCCCGGCTATCGCTTACATCGCTTACATCGCTTACACTTCAACTCGCTCAAACTGCCCACAGGCAATTGAGAGGGAGGGAAAGTGGGTTGCGCGGTACCTCCATTTTGCAATGGCAGGTCGTTGCAACGCACAAGGCGTAGCAGTCTTTCAGTCGTCATCTACATGTCTCAGAATACCAATTCTGATGACCTCAGCCACATAACGGATCCTAAGTTCGTCCACTTCCATAGATGTGGTGGAGTGGAAGAGGATGGAGATGAAGTCAGGCGTTCGGCGTGTGACAAACTGGGATAGGCCAGAAGCCCCAAACAGGTCACAGGTGCCCGGACAAGCTTGCAAACAGTGTTGCAACGTAGCTTCTACGGCCTGACAGAAGGGACACGGCTTCAGCAAAAGCGTATCTTCGTGTCCTGGAGTCGCCAGCAACAGGCGAAGCGGCCACAGTCCCGTCAACCGAGTAAAGCTCCACAGCTCAACAGAATCCCACAGCTTATCAGGGACACATCCCAACAATACATCCCACCCTTGGCAAGCGCGAACTGGGCAAAGGTCTATGTACCTCAGGTTAAGACCTGCCAAAACCTTAGTGGCGGAAGCTGCGAATTCCGTCAGGTCCAAGGCACTAAGGCGAGGAGTCAACACTAAACGCTTGTAACGCTGCAGCAAAGTTTTCCGTAAGGCCTTACAGGATCTGGCCAGTTCCATTTCTTCCAGCGTGCAAACACCAGAGTCCTGCAGAGGCGGAATTCCTCCGCACTGCTCCAGAAGGTCACGAGTCATGTGCAACCAAGTACCATTGTGAATGGATTCGGCCATAGTCACCATACGATACACTGGGTGATCTTGTGGTAGAATGCTGATTTTGGCCAAATAAGCCAAAGCTCGTAATTTGGCCTTAGTGCCCAACCTAAAATGCCAGCCAACAGTGGCCACTGCAAGAGGCCCGCGTATGGCAGACCCTGCTTTGCCTGCTAGAATTTGTTTCGCCCAGTCAGCCTGCAGCCTGTTCAGCTGTGAGTATGCGTTGGGGACCAAGGGCAGGAGCTCGGCGGCGTAGAGAATGACGGGTTCGACCCGTTCAGTGATGGCAACTGCCAAAACCGGGGGTGGAAAGCCTGCCTGCTTAGCCATGGTCATAAGCTCCTGGAAGAGAGCATTCCCCACTTTTAAGATATGGGCAAGGCGCATTTCCAAGGAAAGACCACGTTCAAGCTGGACCCCTAACAACTTATACGTTTCACACGCAATGTCAACCAAGGGGACGTCAGGAGCGTCATAGCAGGGCATGATGGCAGTCTTTGACGGTCCCATATTAAACTTGGCACGAACAGTGTGTGCAAACAAGTCCAAACCCTCAGTTGCCGCCTTGCAGACCTCGGTGCAAGAAGGAAACGGTGCAACCACATCGTCTATAAAGAGGAGAGGCCCCAGGGGCGAGTGGCCCAAGTTCTCCAGGATCTGCACTCTTTCATCGATGGAATTTAACCGGCCAAGATCATGGATGGCCACTCGCCGAATCAGGCGTTGATCCCAACCCTGCAACATCAGCCTTTGAAGTCTAGCTACAATGGCTGGCCCTTCGTTTAATGGTTCAAGGCGACAGAGTTCTGGGACAGGCGTGAGAGTCGTCCACAACCCTGCAATAGCATCGGCTGCAAAACTAGGCAGGACCGAATTGGAGGGTTGGCAAACAGAAGAAAGAATTTGCTGAAGGAGCTTCATGAAAGCCGTGAAGATGTGAACAGCAAAGCGCTTGCCTTGTGGAAGGCCCGCCCTGAAAGACATCGCATCTGATACTACCCCACCAAGGGAGAGGACAGCAGAGTCCATGTGAAGGAAGTCCCAGAGTAACAACCACTCTGTACCCACCACTCCTGCATGAAAAGCTGCGAGCAGCATTGCATTATGATCCGTAGCATCATAGGCGGATTGTATGTCTGCAAAGAGCAGATATGTATGGAGCCCTTGTGAGTGCCGGATTTGTGCGTGTAGTATTACCGCTAAAACGATTGCCACTGTCTCAAACTTGCCCCCCAGTTGCGCTGCGCCAGTGAAGTCCTCTAAGATCTTCTTGCAACGTCCGAGCCAGAGCCCATCTTGAACTGCAGCCATGTCTGAGACGACACTTATTGGTCTGAGATTAGTGACCTTTCGGACTACTCTAGGCCCAGCCTTGCGAATGGGCGTGATGCGTCTTTCACACCAAAGCGAGGAAGTTAACTCACACTCCCTAGCTAAGTTAACCAAAGCCAAATTGAGAGCCTTAGCTGGGGGACAGCTCGTCTTGGCAGCTGCCAGAGCGCATCGATAACTTTGTTTGCGCAGACGGAAAGACCGTTGCACTTCCTCAAGTTCTTGCCATGAATAAGGGGCTGCGTTGACTGCCGTGTTGCTTTCAGGGGCATCCGCAAGACCTGGAATGCCTCTCGGCACAGCTTTGTGCCTGTGAATGGTGCGAACACTCTGTTCAAGTGCACGCTCACATTCTGGATCCTGATAGAAATCATTGTCCGCTCTTCCCAGCAAATCATGCTGGATAGCAGAAATAGTTTGTTGCACCCCTGAAACTGCACCAGTGTTAGGCTCAGCCAAAGCATACCCAAAGTCACGGTCCTTCTTGAACCATGAAGAAAGAAAGGCTTTCGCCTGATTAGGTTGAGATGTCAGGAGCGACAAATATCTGCTTACAGTGGCCGCCTTGGTTTGGTCATCAAATTGCTTCACAGCTGCCTTGTATTGGTCATAGTTCTGGAAGTCACAGACTTTAGGCACTCTCTGTGGCCACCGATTCTTTTGACCGGCGACTCCGCGAACACGGGTAAGTCCCCCGCAATGCCCTGTAAAACAAACCAAAACTTCCCTAATCCAAGCAGCGGCGTCAAGCAAATCCCGCTTACGCTTAGGCAACAAACAGTGCTTGTTTGCTGCAATCTCAACTTGCACGTCATTAGTAATCAAGGCAGCCAATGCAAATGAGGACTCTGCCGAAGCTAGCGCCTCATCCCACTCATTCGATTGGGACCAAATGATTCGCCCAACAGATGATTCAAAGGACGCCTGCAAAGATACGGGGCAGCGTGAGATAACCATGGAATGATCAGACGCTCCAATGTCCTCTTGGACTACATCAACTGGTAAGGGTTGGCACCTGTCAGTTAGGACGAGGTCGATAATCGTCCCACTGACATGCGTCGGGAAATGCGGGTTGCATGCTACCAGGTTACGGGATTCAATTTCCAGCTGTATGAGTTTGTCATTGAGCCTTTGGCAGCAATGTAGACAGCTGCATTCTGGTGAGTGGTGAACAAGACCTTGCAGATGAACGTTGCCATCACCTGCAATTACAATTCTGGATGAAGGGTATTTCGTCTTGATAATGTCGAATTCAGAAAGAATTTGCCGCCAAGTCTGTAAGTCACCCCCTGGTTTGGGATAGATGGCTCCCAGAATAAGAGCAGGACCCTGTCGCTGCCAACGTTGGCCACGGAACATCAGCCAGAGGATCACTGGGGAACCCATGTCTTCCATGACAGAAACTTCTAAACGCAGTTCTGACGCAACAAGTACACCCACTGCTTCCCATGAGGTAGTTTGCAGACCAAGCCACTCAAAAGGGAAGCCTGCAGGAATTTCCGCTCCGGGGGGCCACCTGGCCCCAGGAAGGATACAAACCTGTATGTTCTTGTCCACTAAAACGGAGCAAATGTGGAAGAGCCGCCATACGAGGAGTTCTTCACTAGCAATGCGGCTCAACCCCAAGCGCCCCGGATTTAGGACAGCAAAGGTGAGCTCAGAACATTGGAACCCTTCCTGCTTATGTTCATATTGGTCCACCAAGGTGCCTCCCATGTAGGGCGATTCAATTGCCACTCTGCTTGTGGTGCTGCGTGCAGCACTTGGAATGGCCACGTGCTTCAAGAAACCCTTTAACGCAGAAACAAATTCAGAAAGCTTTGCCAGTCTCAAAAAACGGGATTGTCCATTGGAGGCTAGGTTCCCAGGGTTTTGCGGGGCTAACTCAAAGAGCCCCCGAATATCTTTGAGGGCAGCGTTGACCTCCATTCTTTTCGGCACACTGGCCAGCCAGTCCGACCAGATATGGCGAAGCTCTTGGATACACAGTTGTATCGAATCGTCCATGGCTGCAATTAAGGCTGAAAGGTAAAAAGCCCCGGGCGTAAAAAACCTCATGAAGGCGAGAGCAAAAAAAAAATAAATAAATACAAAGCACAAATCTTCAATAACACCACTTCACGGGCAAAGTCTAGCGGTTGAAGAACCAGATCTAGGAACGGCTCGCTGCCAATTTCACATACCGCGTCCCATGGTACATTCATGTGGTGTTCCACATCGACAAATTAAGTATTCAAATTAGGTGCAAGCGGTCTCGAGTAGAAGTTGAAACGAGCCTCACGCTTCACTGGTGGGACTCATA